AGAAATTAGAAAAACTGGTTTCCAGAAGATCGGTAACAAAAAACTATACACCCTATAGTACTCCCCGGGAAATTCTACCCCTACTTCATATACAATACTTTCAAAATCGGTCCAATAGTTTCTAAGATTACCCCGAACAACAGTACAAACGACAGTAAATACGACTTTTTTTACTAAATTGCGTGTAGCCACTAAAATAAAAGTTTAAAAAAATATTTCCGATATACAGTCTTAAAGTTTAAGACCCAAGCTACAACATCCCATAAGTTATTTTTTCAAAAAAATTTTTTTTCTATTCTTCGACTTTGAAAATAGAGAAATTTTCATATTTTCTAGTTCGACATTTATTTTTATATACTTTTTTTGAAAAATACACCTGCTTAATATTTTGTTTTTCAAATAAAACATGTATCATCTTAAAGTACATATTTTCAGCTTTAAAAAACCCTGTTATTAAATTTCAATATCTATTTCCTAAGCAATAATATCTGCAGTCAAACTTGTTGATCAATTTTGAAATAACGAAATTTCAAGAATCAACTTTGAGGTCCCAACTTAAAAAAAATAAATTTTTGTAATTTTTTTCATTTATTGCATGTTATCAGCACATATTTTAAGAATATAATAGCTTTAATTTAGAAGTAAAAATCTGCAAATTTAAATAAATGGCAATGATATTAGTAAAATAAGTCAAAAATTTCACATCGTCTCTCTTCAAATTCGATTTAAATATATACTCAAAATGCTTTCTCAATTTTTCTAAACCACTTGAAAATTAGTAAATTACGTCTACTTTCGAATGCTTTTTGTAAAATTTGATTCTATCGATCCAATCAAAAGTTACAACTCTTTTTAAAAAGTGTGCGCGCGCCCGCGTACTCTGCAGGCGGCTTCACACGAGACGGCATCGACGCACTTTGAAGCGTTAATTAAAAAATTATTACTCCTACACATATTAATATTAAGAAAACTTTAGATATGTTTCTTTAGTAAAATTTTCTCCTCTTTCGATTGGCATGGTTTATTTTTTCATAAAATTAATGTTTTTTTAGTTATACTTAAAAAACCGATTTTTTCGGTCTTTTTTGTTAAATAAAATATTTAGCACAGGGTTTACGTTGGTAAACTTTTGAGACATGTTTTCTGAAACCCAAAAGAACACTTTCCAAAAAAGTTTACTTTTTGAGGAGAAATTTCCAAGTGTTTTCCTGCAATTGACTGGACTATTAGTATGGCAAACTTATTTACCTTTAGGTTACAAGATGTATCTGATCAAACTATTACTTTTCTATTGTCATATATTAATTTCCGGTTGAATACGCGTATATCCTACCGGTGCGATGCAAATCTAGTAAATTTTATTATGAGTATTCTACATTATTCGAGAAAAATTTTCTGCGTGTATGATTTCATAACGATTATACCGATTAGAAACGATTGAAATGGATTCGTACTCAAAGATGTAATTTCATTCGTTTTCTATCGGTTTGAATCAGTCTAATTTGTTATGATTTTGTGAACCCCGAAATCACGAAATTATAATGATTTAAACGGATTGACTGACCGATTCAAACTGATAGAATCCGTGAATTCCGGATATATAAACAGGATTATTTACTACTTTATTATAATTCCATTCTTTGTACTACAAATTTATTACAATGTGCAGTATTTATTTAACCCTTTGAAAACACACCTTTTTTTTTTATTCACGGAGTTAATCTGACCCTACACACACTTTGATCGTCCACCATTTTAAATTGACGAGTGCAATTAGCTTGAAAAAATTCCCAGATGTACTTGGAACATTGTTAAATCAATTGATATAAATAAAAAGTGCCATTGGAATTATTTACATATTTTAAAAAATTCAAGAAAAATTAAAAAAAAATTTTTTTTTTAAATTTTTTAAAATATGTAAATAATTCCAACGGCACTTTTTATTTATATCAATTGATTTAACAATGTTCCAAGTACATCTGGGAATTTTTTCAAGCTGATCGCACTCGTCAATTTAAAATGGTAGACGAGCAAAGTGTGTATAGGGTCAGATTGACCCCCCCATTGACCCAGTGTGTTCTAAAAAAAAAAAAAATTTTTACCAAAAAAATTTCATTTTTTTGTTTAATATTTTTGGCTAAAAATTTTTCTGGCAAAAAAAAAAAGGATCAAATTAACACTGTGTGTTCTCAAAGGGTTAAATAAAAACATTTTACAGTTTTGCAAATATAGAATTCATGACTTTACCAAAAGGAAATCCTGTAGTGAGAACTCTATTACGTAAAAATTATGTGTTATATACATTTTAATGATTAAAGCGGATTTAATCCGATTCACATAGCTACTTTCACTACCCAATTTAAATGGATTAAGCGCAGATACGATTGAAACCGATTGAGTAGAATTTAGATGAATCCGGAAATATCGCATTAAATCCGATTTCGGTGTTGTATTAAAATTTCACGATTGATGCGGATTCAATAAGATTCATGTGGTCATTTTATTCACCCGATTAAAATGGATTAGGATTAATACGATTGAAACCGATTCAGTCGGATTCAGATGAATCCGGAAATATCGCATTAAATCCGATTTCGGTGTTGTATTAAATTTTTACGATTGATGCGGATTCAATACGATTCATGTGGTCACTTTATTCACCTGATTAAAATGGATTGGCATTAATACGATTGAAACTGATTCAGTCGGATTCAGATAAATCCGGAAATATCGCATTAAATCCGATTTCGGTGTTGTATTAAAATTTTACGATTGATGCGGATTCAACACGATTCATGTGCTCACTTTATTCACCCGATTAAAATGGATGTGCATTAATACGATTGAAACTGATAATGACGGATTCAGATCAATCCGGAAATGCCGAATTAAGAACGATTCCGATTGATTTGTTGTTAGAACCGATTCACTTCCAATCGGGCATCCGATTAACCGGATTGAAAACGCATTCATTCCGATTCAATTTCACCAAATTTAATACGGAACCAATCGGATTTAATCGGTCATTTTCAGCAGGGATACGTCGCAAAACTAGATTTAAACATAAAAATTTTTATATACGCATTTAGACAATTTGTATGATGTAACCTTGTGTTCTTCCAGAATGAAAAAGAGTAACGATATCAGATTACACATTATAAAACCGATAAATTTTATTTTGTCTTTTTTTCTTTTACAATATTAACCTCATAACTGAAATACATCAGTATAAGTCGTTTCTAACCAATTATCACTCATAGTTTAAATACAAAATTGGCAAATGTGAAGAAGACTGATTTTCTCTTTTATTTTTGTTACTTATATAAGTTACACCCACACGCACGCACACGCACACGCACACGCACACGCACACGCGCGCGCGCACACACACACACACACACACACGCGCGCGCGCGCGCGCATACATACAAACACATATATATATATATATATATATATATGTTACGGGAAATATGAAAAATTGGGAATTATACATAATAGCCGGCCAATATGGATAATTCCCAATTTGTTTGGTCAAAATGATTAATAGAGAAGAATTAATCAAATTTCCCGGTTATTATGCATATTTTCCAATGCTGAATGGTCATTTTGATAAATCATCTTATTTGGGCTACGGTCAACGTGACGCTACAAATGCTTTGGAGCGTTCTTCTTCTCTTTCTTTCTTCATTGAAAGAAAAGAGAAGAGGAATGCTCCGAAGCATTTGTAGCGTCATGTTGACCGTAGCCTTGATTAACTGTTTAAAGCGCGTCACTAACCTACATAGGATAGATGACGCGCTTTAAAAGTATTTAACTGTTTAAAACGCGTCACTAACCTACATAGGTTAGATGACGCGCTTTAAACAGTTAATCAAATAAGATGATTTATCAAAATGACCACTTTGCATTGGAAAATATGTATAATGACCGGTTAATTTGATTAATTTGAACATTTTTGCTTTTATTATTCAAATGTCCCAAAAAAAGCAGGAATTATGCATATTGCCCGGTCATTATGCATAATAACCGATTTAATCAAATTTCCCGTAACATATATATATATATATATATTTATATTAGTTAGAAATATTTCTGATGATATACTCTGCTATACGGAAATAGTTTAGTTTCTTCAAATGATCCTAGGCATCCTAATTCTCATTCTCTTTATATACATATATATAATACATATACACAAAATTGTACTATACATGCAAAGCTTAGAAAGGAAGATTGGAATGGGACATTACATATGTGTATGTATCTATATGTATGTATACAATATTATATTAAAGGTGCTTCGCAGTTAGCTGCGGCGCATAGAAAAAATGTAAAACTTGAAAACGTTAAGAACAATGTGGATTACAAAGATTTTGTTCCGACAAATGCTTCATAAATAATGCAGTAAAGATAGTAAAAAAATAATGATCGTTGTTTACTTCATAAGCAGTCACATTGAGTATGCATACATTAATATACAATCGAGCATTTGCGTTCTTAATTCATTCGCGAAACTCGATTACTGAACAAAATTCTTATTTTGAACTTGATTCAAACCGCATTTATTTCAATGAGTAACACGCGCAAAACAGTAAAGATCATTGCTTCCGTCTTGCACTTGATTTCATTCCGCATGGTCAAATAGCGAAATGTAAAATGGTGGGCAATACAAGAGGAAACATTCAGTCTATAAAGATTAATTCGATTAGGAAACAGTTTAAAACCGAAGGTGTCCATAATACAAATCTTAACTGTCCGACCTTGTAAATACTTTTTGTGAGTTTTAACATTTAAACAATTTACTATGTAATTTTCCTTTCGCGAAGCGTCGCAAATACATAGTATAAATAAAACAATATGTCGTGGAAAAAAAAAACAGAAAACAATAAATGAATTTTAAATGGAATTATAGATTTTCTTTTTTCTTACATATGCAAAAATTGTTTCTGACTTTGTACTTCTATACGATTTAAAGTTGACAATTATAAAAGAAAACGCAATGGAATAGTCAATTTTATTAGCATGAGACATTTACAAAAATTTTCCTATTTACTATATCGTATTAAAATTATATACAATATTGAAAATCTCGCAACGCGATTGATAATATTCAATGCTCATGCATCTAAAAACATCACTCATTTTTATTATTGTACCAGCAATAAAAAGAAAGATCTTGATGTGTTTAATTCTATAACAGACATTAATCACGTTATGTGATTAATCAAGCATACCTTCCAAAAATACAAGCGCATCCACGTTATCAATGGCATTTTCTACATCACGCTTTTGAACAGTTCGTTTCTTCGCTTGCGCAGTGTATTTATAAGCTTCTTTTGCAAGCGACTCGATAAAAAATTCCTATAATAGGTAGACAATTGTTTTAATCCAGTATCAAATGTATCACAATTAATTATTCAATACTATTTATTTACCACTGACTTCGCCACCAGAAACGCAGCCTCTTGATTAATCAAACTGACTTCGGGGTCCATTTTAACAATAGTCTTTATTCTTCCCAGGGGCAGTCGTATCAATTTTTCTCGCTGCTCCTCGTCACCATGTGGGTTATCATCGACTTCTTCTCGCGAATCTCGAATATTCTCCCCATCATACTGGTTTTTGTCGAGTTGGATCTCTTCGATTAAACCGTTAATTTCCGAGTTGTCCATGTTGACACGTTAGTTTATGGGTATGGTGCTATTCATGAATATACAAATTTAAAATATGTTACAAATAAACTCAAAAAGTAATTATTCAGTTTAAAGGCCTCACCTCCAATATCAACGCGTTTTTGCGTGAAACGACCGAATCTGACAGAAAAAAGCGTCGCGCTCTGCCCCGCGACGCGAGATATTAAACGTTAATAAAGTTGACAGGAATCAGGTTATGATGTCATACCGACGAGATGTAGCGACCATAAAGGCCATCGTACACAAAATGCATAGCTTAGCATAAGCGTAGCATAAGATCGCTAAACCAATGAGCATCTAGCATAAAGTCGCCATATTAATTTACATACGATGCTCATTGGTCCAGCGGTCTTATGCTATGCATATGCAGCCTATGCAATTTTGTGTGTGATGGCCTTAAAGGTGGAAGCACATAAAATTGCAGGAGCCATAAGCAAAACGCAGAAGCCATATGCGCATGCGCTATGGTATCTGCCTGTATTCTGCCCATGGCTGTGGCTTCTGAATTTTCAATCTACATAAACTATGCTTATGTATTTTTATGTAGATTGAAAATTCAGAAGCCATATGCAGTATGCAGACACCATAGCGCATGCGCATATGACTTCTGCATTCGTGCTCATGGCTCCTGCAATTTTATGTGCTTCCACCTTAAACATGCCCCGCGGCTACGCTACATGCGCATGCTCCGTGGCCGCACGCGCATGCAAAAGTGCGCGAATAATAAAGGCCATCGTACACAAAATGCATAGCTTAGCATAAGCGTAGCATAAGATCGCTAAACCAATGAGCATCTAGCATAAAGTCGCCATATTAATTTACATACGATGTTCATTGGTCCAGCGGTCTTATGCTATGCATATGCAGCCTATGCAATTTTGTGTGCGATGGCCTTAAGGGCCCGGATACACACTTCTGCACAACGCATAATGCGTAAGCATATAAGAAAATTGATTGGTTCATACACATGTGCATAAGGAAATAGACCAATCAGTTTTCTTATGCTTACGTATTATGCGTTGTGCAGAAGTGTGTGCTCCCCGCTTAAAAGGTGGAAGCACATAAAATTGCAAGAGCCATGAGCACGAATGCAGAAGTCATATGCGCATGCGCTATGGTGTCTGCATACTGCTATGGCTTCTGAATTTTCAATCTACATACACTGTGCTTATGTATTTTTATGTAGATTGAAAATTCAGAAGCCATAGGCAGTATGCAGACACCATAGCGCATGCGCATATGGCTTCTGCATTCGTGCTCATGGCTCCTGCAATTTTATGTGCTTCCACTTTAAGGGCCCGGCCACACACTTCTGCACAACGCATAATGCGTAAGCATAAGAAAATTGAT